TGTGTGTGTGTGTGTGTGTGTGTGTGTGTGTGTGTGTGTGTGTGTGTATACGAGGGAGGAGGAGCTATTTCTATCACCTGTACTCTTCCCTTGCCTAGACTGGGATGGTGGAGAATCATTGCATTTCTTTAAATGACAGATTATTTTGTCTTCACCAGTAGGCAACCATACATTGGTCATGTACCCAGAAGTCGCACATGCATCGATTTAGGTGGCAGAGTTTGCCTTGAATGTACTATTATAATTTAGAATTTGGGAAAAGAATGAAAAACACAAGCAAATATAATTCTTCCTTTTCTCTTGAAGTTTGTTGGTATCCACAGAGAACACTGTAGGTCCTGTGTCTTCTAGGGGACTACACCCTCCTGAGCACTAATTTCATATATACCCTGACTTATCACCTCAAAAATATTTTGAATGGAATAAATTCATTTTAGTTATATCTCTTTCCTTTAGTAAATCCCTTACCTCTCTAGCTGACATTTTCTTTCTTCTAAAACAGAAATAGTTTTTATGACAGCATTTTGAAGATGCTAAGAGTTAGTCATCTAATGTCTATTAAAAGGGAGAGGTGATAAAAACAGTTATTTGTGAATTGAGCTAGACTTAGTAAAATTCCTATTTGCCATGATAACTGACCTGATTTAAAAGTATGTAAATCATTCTGAACTGCTTGTTCTTGTTTCTCTAGATGCAATCTTCCTCCTTTGTCAAGTGAATACACTAAGGATGTTGGATCCAAAAGTCATTTAGTGACGGCTAACCCCAGCATAATTCGGCAAAGGTAAGAGTTTATGACTTCTCTTTGTGAGGAATTAAAAGGAAGGCTTTCGAAATATTTAACATCGTAAAGGCAGTGAACATAATTCAGTTTGGGAAACAAAGAAGAAAACCATCTGGACAGCAGGAAGGATGAAGGAGGGAATTGTAAATAAACTAGACAGGATTATGGGAATCCAAACACTATTTCATGCTTCCTCTGGGATTCCATTTCTTGCCTTTAGAGATGGTAAAAATAACATGTGAATCCATCATTTTGCTCAAAGAAGTAATATTATATCGTGCTTACTCATTACTACTACTTTCCAATTTGTTGGCTTCAGTCCCAACTCATTGATTGGCACTGATTGGTGAACAGAAGTCATATCAACTTTATTAAAGAGTAAAAACAGAGAAGTGACCACTTTACTGCATATGCACGCATGAAAGTAGCAATATTGTGGGAATGTACAAGAATGTGTGATTATATGATGTTACAATATAGTACATCACATGATATTCAGTCAGATTTGAGAAAGCAGATGGAAAATTCTTACTCTAGTATCGATTCCAGAAATCTTGGCAGTTGCTGTGGGAGCTTCTGGGGGTCATCGGTTTCTAGTTGATGAAGCCCAGCGGTAAGCTGTGAGCTGTTTATCCAAGGACTGTTCATCGTAGAGAATGACTCAATCTCTGTGAAAAGAAGAGTCGAACATCACCCTTATGCTCTCCCATGTACACTAGCAGTTAATAGTGAAATACCCAGATATTCTAAGCTCAGGCATTTGCCACCTAAGGAAGTCTTATCCAAGTGAACAGCGCTTGTGTGTCACTTGATAAACAATGCTACACTACTTGTTTTGGTTCATAAGCATTCCCATAAAATAGATGTTGGGAAACACAACCAATTTTTAATTTGACAGATACTGTGAAATTACACTTCCAAAATGTACCATTTACTTCCTCTTCGGTCATGGCTCAGACTGCCTGTTTTCCAATACTGAAAACATTATGTGCTGTTCATCTTTTAAATTTTTGTCAGTTTGCTGAGTTAAAAATGATACATTATTTTTTACTTAATATGGTTTTTTTTTAATATAAGAAGGGCTGAGTGGGTATTGACTATTAGTATTTTTTCTTCTGTGAATTGCCTGTTTGCATTCTTTGCTCATTTCATACTTTTTTTCTTTTTACAAACTATTTTCCTGTTGATTTATAAGAACTGTATAGATATTAAGTCTTTGTTTGCTATATATGGAGCAAATATTTTCTTCTAGTCTGTTTAGCTTCTGTCCTATCAGAACTCAACATTTTTGTACAATGAAACTTGTTAGTCTTTTCCTTTTTAAAAAAAAAAACAACTATCTTTAGACAATCTTCCTTACCCACATCTCCTCCAATGAGAAAATATTATCCTGTATATTTTTAGTGCATTTATAGTTTCATCTTTCATACTTAAGGAATTTAATCCAAGTGACTATCTTTATTTTTATAACACTGATCTTTATAACACTGATCTTTTATAACACTGAACATATATTTTCCACAAAAATATATGTTCGTTATAAGAAAGTAAGAGAGAAAAATACAAAGAAGATGGTAACAAAAAGAATCACCCCAAACCTCACCATTTGTGAATAACTATAACTAACACGAGGTACACTTTTTTCAGATATTCCATATATTCTTCAGAACTTTGAAGATATTGTTTCATTATCTTCTGGCACCCAGAGTTGCCAACCAAAAATCTAATGGAAATTTATTCATTTCTTTGTTTGAGGGAAATCTTTCTTTCCTTCCTCCACTAAAACTTATACATTTCTTTTTACCATTTGAATTCAGAAAGTTTACCAAGATATATCTCAGAGTGGGTCTCTTTTTTCATTAATGTTGCTTGGCACATTATTGAGAGGTCTTTTGAGTTGGAAGACGTGGAGGTGTAGTGGTTATGAGTCTGTCCTCTAAAGCAAGATGACTTGGTTTTCGCTTCCTGCTCGCCCACTCACAGCTGTGTGAGATTGACTGAGTTACTTAACACTTCCTCCTTCAGTTTCCTCATCTGTAAAGCAGGGATAATAATACTTAGTTTAATTCATACTTACAATGAATTAAACTACATATATATGTAGATGTATATATGTGTAAATATGTGTGTGTGTATATCTGTATATTATATATATGCTTAGAACAGTGCCTGGTATATTGTGAGCACTATATAAACGTTAGCTATCATTAGTATTGCTTTTCATCTTTGTGAACATTCTCTCTCTTATATGCCTGATTATTTCCTCTTCTTCATTATATTTGCTCTCTCTTTCTAGTCCTCCTATTAAGTGGATATTAGAACTTCTAGATATTTCTAACCCTTTCCTTGTACCATGTAGCTTTGTGTGTGTATATGTGTGTCGTGTCCCAAGAATAACCCCTTTCAGCTCAGTAAATCGTATTTTAGTTGTGTTCATTCTGCTATGTAGTCTACCATTTCCACTTCTTAATTGTATTTTTATTTTTTGTGAGCTAAATTATTTTTCTCATAGCAGCATATTTTTTATGGATATAATATCCTCTTAGGTTTCATCAAGACTGTATAAATGGACTTAAAAGTTTTGTATTTTTGTTCTTTCTATATTCAGATTATCTTCCTATTTTTTGGACTTAATGCTACATGTATGATTTGACATTTTCCAAAATGTGTACTTTAGTTTTCTGTTCATTTTTGTATGGTAAGCCTTTTTGCTGTCAGTGAATATAGTTTTATAGGTATATTACTTTCATAATAAACAGTTCGTTTAAAAAATGTCACTGAAAACCAAAAATGTCAGTCAAATTTGTGAGTTAGTATTGAATAACTTAAATGAATGACCAAAAATCAGTGCTCTATATTTAATTTTTAGTGTGATTTGTTTGCTGACATAAACTAATGTAGCATAGCAAGGAGTTGGGAAGAATAAGAAAACAAAACAGTTCTCTTTTACAGTTTAGTTATTGACTCTCACTCAGTCTTGGGACTTTTGTGGGTTTTTGTGAGAGGGCTTGGGGGTCTGATCAGGAAGATGTCAGAAAATCAACAATGATGATGATGTCTCTTTAATTCAATTAAGTGGATTGGGGTTCTGGAAGTCATAAAAATGTGCAATTTTTAAAATTGGGAAGGGTTCATATCAGATTCAAGAGAATGAGCAAAAGGTCAAGAGAACACTTACAGAAATATTTTTCTTTGATTATTTAAATTTTTTTAGATAATTTCAGATTCACAAGAAGTTGCAAAACAAAAAAAAGTACAGGAAGATCCTTTGTACTCTTCATCCAGTTTACCCCATTGGTAATGTCTTGCATAACCATAGTATAATACTTCTCCGTTCCTGGAGGGGAATGAGACATTCAGTACATTACACTGAAGGACAAAAGAGTCTATTTTTCTACCTGAATATGTGGAGTTGGTGGTAAGATTTTAAAAAGCTCGGGAAAACGAGTATTTATGTAGAACAAGACAGAGCAAGAGGAAAGAGAAAGTGAGATTGTGATTTTGAGAAAAAATATAACTACAGAAGGAGAAAGGAAAGGATCAATAATTGTTTGAAGGGAAAAAAGTTCAATATAAAGAATTAATGCAAGGCAAGCAAGAGTCATTATGATTAATGCTGGGTCAACATTTAGTCAGTGTTTCTATGTGCTAGGTTCTATGTTCTTTATATGCATTACCTCATTTAATCTCAAAATAATCCTAATAAGGAAGTATTTTAATGTGTGTTTTTACAGAAAAACAAACGTGACATAAGTTTTGTCATCTGCTTATATTCACAGCTGCTGGTCATCAGTCTGGGACTTCACCCAGACTTGTCTCAATCCAAAACCCATACTCTTAACCAGTGACCATCGCACACCCCATCTTTCCAGGTGATCCATATGTTGCACAAGGAGACAATTGAGTTTCCACAAGTGATAAGTCATTTTGGAAAAGGGAGTGAAGGTTTTTTCACTTAACAAAGTATATTCAATGTTGCAAGGTTTTTGAATACAAAATCAAAATGCATATAACAATTCCATTTTGTGAAATATGGAAAAATATATCCCAGTAACATCAGATACTTTTATATACTTAACAGTTAGACAATGGGAATTCCCTGGTGGTCCAGTGGTTAGGACTCGGCGCTTTCACTGTTCTGGCCAGGGTTCAATCCCCGGTCAGGGAACTAAGATCCCGCAAGCCACATGGCTCGGCCAAAAAAGCAAACAAACAATTAGACAAAAAAGCAAACCCTCTATAGAAAAATTACGGAATTTTATTGAGGGACATTTTGGACAACCTAAATGTCAAATAATATTAATTCTAATGATTCTTGCTTGACCTTGTGCTAATTCTTTATATTGAACTTAATGTTAACGAACAGGTTTACTTTGCCTCTTTTACTTTGCCTCTTTTACTCTTTTACTTTGCCACATTTAATTTTTGACCCTTTCCTTTCTCCTTCTGTAGTTATCAGATTCATGTATATATAGACCCTTAATATATGACAGAGATAATATTGTAGATCAGAGAGAAAAGGACGAATTTTCCAAAATGATGTGAAAACAGTGGTGTCTATGACACCATAGACAGAGGTGTCTATGAAATTATACCTCTACCTCATACCTTATACCAAATATCATTTCCAGATGCTTAAGACCTAACTTTGAAAAGCAAAACAAGCAAGCTTGTAGAAAATAACATAGGTCTTGTGATTTCTTATATAAGAATCACATAGCACTAAATAGAAGGGAAAAGACTGATAAGTTTGATTTATTAAAATTGGGAACTTTTATTCATAAAAAGACGTGGTAGAAGTAGGGCAAATACAACCACCTTTTATTTATTTATTTATTTATTTATTTATTTATTTATTTATTTATTTATTTATTTATTTTATTTCTTTTTTGCGTTACGGGGCCTCTCACTGTTGTGGCCTCTCCCGCTGCGGAGCACACGCTCTGGACGCGCAGGCTCAGCGGCCATGGCTCACAGACCCAGCTGCTCCGCGGCATGTG